TTTCAACGTCCTGAACCTCTTTCAATCTGCTGATTCCAAACTCAAATTTAATCTCAATATTAATTTCAATTTTGATCGAACTTTCATATTTGTTGCAGTAAAAATAAGATTCCAAAGGAATGTTCTACTTGATATTCAGGTCAAATTACAATACATAAAACGACTATACATCTGTGATTTCGTCCGTCTAATACTCGTTTAATAATTTTAATTTATGAATCGCTCAATCTTAATTCAATTTTCAATTTCAATGAAACCTTCACATTTGTTGCAATAAAAATAATATGCTAAAGGAGTATTGTGCTCGAAATTCAGTAGAAATTATACCAAACGACTAATCCAACGATCATGTAAATAATTTCCAGATATTTGGGGCTCACTGTTTCGCGGCGCTCGGCTACCTATTGAAAGTGCCCATAGTGGGCGTGAGTTCGTCGGCTCTCTACCCATGGAGCAATGACATAATCGCCAATCCCGAGAACCTGGCATACTTGCCAAACAATCTCTTCGACTACTCGTCCCGTATGAACTTCTGGCAAAGAACGTACAATTTCGTGCACAACCTGTACAACAAATGGAACTTCAATCACATCACGCAGAAGCAAAACGAGATCATTAAGAAATACCTTGGCCCCGGTATACCGGACATTAGGGAGCTGGAGAGGAACGTCTCGATGATTCTTGCCAATTCTCACATATCCACGAACGGTATAAGGGCCATGACGCCCGCGTTAATCGAAGTCGGAGGATTGCACATTCAGGAAGAGGGGGTGGAACTATCACCTGTAAGTACGCACCACGTTTCGTTTCTGTTGAGGTTTATGTTTTATTTTAGAAGCTAGAAATTATAATAAAGTTCTATTAAAATTATAATAAAGTAAAGAAATTATAGTAAAGTTCCTTAGAAATTTCAGCTCTACGATCTCTATTACGATGTATCTACAGGGTGTCCCAAAACTCCCGTAGAAGCCGGAAATGGGGGGTAGCTGAGACGATTCTGAACAACAATTTCCTTTGCAAAAATGTCGGTGGCTTCGTTTTTGAATTATTAACGAAAAACCACGGACCAATCACAGCGCTCGAGTAGCGCGCGCTCAGCCGCGAGAACATACGCTCGAGCCAGGATTGGCGTAGCCAGCTGAGCGCTCGAGCGCTGTGATTGGTTGGTGGTTTTTCGTTAATAATTCAGAAACGAAGCCTCCACCGACATTTTTGCAAAGAAAATTGTTGTTCAGAATCGTCTCAGCTACCCATTTCCGGTTCTTACACTAATTCTGGAACACCCTGTATATTGTAAGTGAGAGAATTCAACCTTCGTGCAGAAGTACTAAAATTTGAATTTCATCTTACAAGAGTCTTTAAGGAGACCAACTCTGAACTTTCGATAATGTTTTATTCCCCTTTGAATAATTCTCTTAAATAATTTTTTACAATTCTATTACAAATGATATCACACTTAAACTACCTTAATATGGGTTCCAATTGTGACGATTCAAAAAATATTTTACATGCAATTCGAATGGTATGGAGAGGCCCATCTGGACGAGTTTCAATGTCAGCTACATAATACGATAGGAAAAAAAGCATTTGTAAGTGAAATCACATTTGAAAGAAATATTCAGGTGGCTGGGTTTAGGTGTGACACCCTGTATGTAGTACTAGGGTGATTCTTAAAAGGGTCAGTTTGGAAATGTAATGCTTCGAAATAATTAAAAAGAAATTCCTTAAAAATGTCAGCACTCTACCTCAATTCCTAGTATCTCAAAAGGGCAGAATTCAAAGGTTGAGAAATGCAAACAGTTTTCTTTCCTATACAGGGTGTCCCAGAACTCCTGCAAGAACCGGAATTGGGTGGTAGCTGAGACGATTCTGAACAACAATTTCCTTTGCAAAAATGTCGGTGGAGGCTTCGTTTCTGAATTATTAACGAAAAACCACGGACCAATCACAGCTCCCGAGTAGCGCGCGCTCAGCTGGCTACGCCAATCCTGGCACGAGCCTATGTTCTCGCGACCGAGTGCGCGCTAATCGGGCGCTGTGATTGGTCCGTGGTTTTTCGTTAATAATTCAGAAACGAAGCCTCCACCGACATTTTTGCAAAGGAAATTGTTGTTCAGAATCGTCTCAGCTACCACCCAATTCCGGCTAATACGAAAGTCTTGGTACACCCTGTATATTATCATAGAATATTTCATTACATTACCTGATCTGTAAGTGATTAGCTAGTTTTTTTTCTGTTCTATACTGCATTTTTACTAATTAAAGGGGTATATGGGGCATTCCACGCCAAATGGAACGGTATAAATAAATTTTGTTTTGATTTTCTTAATTTTTTGGTATTTTTTTAATACCAAATGCGTACTAAATGGTACAACTTATTCCAGAGCCTTGAAAATTGGATGAACGAAAGCACCCATGGATTTATTTACTTCACATTTGGCTCGATGGTGAAAATCGAATCCTTCCCACAGAAACATCTTAATATATTCTACAATGCTTTTGGGAAGATAGCACCCGTTCGAGTTCTGATGAAAATTCCGAATCCGAATGAACTGCCGCCTGGCTTGCCGAAAAACGTTCATACATTGCCATGGATTCCACAGGTCAAAGTTCTGAGTGAGTACCATTCGTTAAAATTATTGGAAACGAGGGAAAAAAAGAATTAAATAAATGAAGTTGAATTGAAAATTCTTCGAAACATACAAAACGTGGCAATTCGATATAAACTTAAATTTGTTAAATTGATTTCTAAGATGACGTTACATAGAATTAATTATTTCTCTAATATGTATTTTCGTAATTATAAGTATTTTACACGGATAATGACACAGGCCAGAGTTTAATACATTTTTTAACCGGACAATGGTATTTTCAGAATTATTTTCACATCAATGGTTGATTAAAATTATCATATAAATCGTTGAAGGATGTTTTAATCCGTCATCTATTATTGCAATAATAGTTTGTCCACTAAAGAAGACGACAGACTATAGAAATACAGTGTGTTCAAAAAAAAAAGCATTCAATATTTATATGGTGTATAGGGCACACTGTACTGAGTAAAAAAGCTTTAGTAAACATAGGTCCAAAGGTCAACTGTTTCTGAGATATAAACATTTTTGTTTGCTAGTATCATAATTGACTTACTACTGGGTTTTCGATATTTATAGAAGATTTTCCACGTGTCCACCACTCATTTCTGTACACGAAATTGAAAAAATTAAATTGACGAAATTGTCGGCATTTGAATGGGAACATTCAGAACGCAATTTATAAACACTGACATAAACATCGCATGCGATGGAAGCAAGTAAGTCAATCATGATACTAGCAAAAAAAAATGTTTATATCTCAGAAACGGTTGACCTTTGGACTTACGTTTACTAAAGCTTTTTTACTCAGTACAGTGTGCCCTATACACCATGTAAATATTGAATGCTTTTTTTTTTAACGCACTGTATATAGAAAGAGAGAACTTTTTGAAATAATTCTACTCTTGCAGAGCATCCAAACATAAAAGCATTCATCACTCATGGCGGTCTTATGGGGACTCAGGAAGCAATTCACTATGGCGTTCCAATGATTGGTATACCACTGTTTGCTGATCAATTTATCAATATCAACAGCTATGTTCGAAACAAGATTGCAATAGGATTAGACCTTAACACCCTAACCCAGGAGAAAATGGATCATGCTCTGGATGCTATTCTATACGATCCCATATACCGGTAAATTGAGTCTCGTTTTATACTTTTTCCAAATAGACTTTAGAATCGTGCTGCGAAAGTAAACATCCATCTTGAGTGCATTGCTATGATAGCTTTTCGTTAAATTAACACTTTATTCATTTATAGGTTATTTAAAAACTGTTTAGAACTTAGAAAACAAAATTTCTATATTAGTATATTAATTCAAGATAATATTGGATTGTCCCAAAAGTTTCTTTCATGACTTGCACACAGTTATTTTGTGTGGCAGTGTTTATATAAATAGACATCCTAATTTCTTAGATGTTTATGTTGCAACAGTAATGGAGCAAAATGAATCATACGCAATTCAGTAATGTAACATTAGACATAAAATATTGTGTATGTATTACCTATTAATGAAATGGAAGAAACTTTTGGGACAACCTAATATTATATTCTACGTACTGTATATTTAACGTAACAAGAGGTTCTTTTTTATTAGTTTTGCTCAAATTGAGCATTGTTAGTTAATGATCAAACGCATGACTAATTGGTACCTGCAAATAGATCATGGAATTAAAAAACTTACAAACAGGGATTGAAAAATACATATAGACTTCAAAGTAGAAATGGCAATACTAAAATTGGAAATAGAATTTGCAATTATAAACGTAATGAACATTATTAAATAGGAAGTACATAAAAGCTATAAATGCTAAACTAGATAATAAAAATTGAGAATTCAAATTTCATAAACACAAATTCAAAGTACCATTATTAAAAATACAAATTGGAAATTACAATCTATAAAGTAAACCTTCGTTTTGGAGTAACGAAGTGTAAAATAGAATTTTAACTTTACACTTTCTGTTTATCAGAAAGAAAAGAAAGAAAAAAACTGTTAGGAAACTGTGTTAGAATATATTCACGTAATTTCGTTAATTTACGTAATTTACGTTAATTTCGTTCCAGGGAAACGGCGAAGAAGTTATCTGTCAAGTTCGTAGATCGACCTTTGAGCGCCATGGACACTGCAATTTACTGGATCGAATACATCATCAAGCACGGTCCAGATGCACTCAGATCGCCCGCCATGGATCTAACATGGTATCAGGTGGCGTTAGTGGATGTTGCCGTGTTCCTCCTACTTGTTGCGCTTCTGGCAATTGTCGTTCTGATAACGGCGCTGCGATTCATTTACAAATTAGTAAACCCAATTCGACAAGTGTCGCAAAATAAGAAAGTCTCATAAACACTTCCATTTTTCTATCTTGATGCACCGAGATTTCAATCGAATTTCTTTGAACGTTTCCTTAGACTCTAACAAATAAGTCTCATTATTCAAATTTTACTTAACACTTTATTTACCGGGAGCCTATTTATAGGCTTTTTAATTGCAGTATTTAGTTATTGATGGTTGTCTACTTACAATGATTAGTGTTGGGAAATAGACTTGGCTTTCAATGTACTCAGTAATAGTATGGAGGAATTATTGTCAGCCTAGATTGGCATATGCTACTGTAGAAAATTCTTTTTTGAATTAAAGTCTGGTTCTAAATAGCCCGGTAGATAAAGTGTTAAAACTTCTCAGATAGCACCAGACGTCCTTAAGACGTCCATGGGACGTAAATTTTGTACATCCCACGGATGTCCTCTCTGAACTTTCTAGATTTAGAAAAAATACTTTTTTTAAACATAAAATAAATATTTATTCAATATGTAGAAAAGAATACTTTCTTCCGAATATAAAATACACTATTTACAATATTATTATCCCAGATAGCACCGGAGGTCTCATAGACGTACAGAGAACGTTCTGGGAATGTCCAGCACCCGACGTCTCATGAACGTACATAAGACGTCCCTGTGCTATCTGGGTATACAGTCATTATTTAATATTCGCAACAGAATATATGTTTGGACATGTAAAACAAAATGTTTATTCAATATTAGGAATACAATATTTTTTGTACATATGAGATGTGATATGAACTTCTCAAAAAAAAAAGTTCAAGTCACTTAGACCAATTTCAAAAGAAAGAATTGTGTTTTAAAAGGTGTCCGAATATTAATGCGAGTCACTATATAAGCCTAAAATATGAGTCAGTTGAACAAAGGCGTTCATGGGTAAGTGATGTGTCACGTCCTGAATTCCAGATTTAGAATATCTGTCACCCGGTTCGCTCAAATACTGCTTGCTTTTTGTCCCACGCCTCTCTCAAACAACTTGCATCTAGACGGGATCCTGATCTTTCATGGGTGATGGTTGATTTCTTCTCATAGTGTTTAAACAATAACATCCTGTCCGGAATGATTCCTAGATGTTGATGTTTGCAGAAGTCTGCAAGTTCTGGGCCCGAATTTAGTCTTTTTGTAAAAGTGTTATGTAAAAATGAAGCTATTCGACATAACGACCTAACACTCGGTAAGAGTTTGTTGTCCATTTTATGTTTCAGTAGATGATATTTTTGTCCTATAGCACTGTGTACAGCTTCGACTACCAAACTTATTTTAGTAATAAATCGTGAGGCATTTGCCTCTGCGGATGTCAATTGCTTCCGATTTTCTTTACATGCTAGCATTAAAACATTACCTACAGTGGACACAAGAATATCATGAACTGCAGTTTTAATAATATAGAGAAACCCATTACACAGCCTTGTTTCTGCATATACTTCACAACATTTCGAAATCCACAGTCTACAATGCAGAAATCACCTGATCGTAAAAGTGTCTTTATTCGCAGAGGCAATGCCTCACGATTTATTACTAAAATAAGGCTGGTTAATTAAGAACATAACTATACATTCTTTCAATTAATTTTATTTGACTTTTAAATAATAATCTTTTTTATAAAAATAAATATTATGCACATGTTAAGCATTAACAAAAAAATGTTATAACTGTTATGGACCTCATGTTTCATACAAGTATTCATTTTATTTCATTTGAAATAAAGTAGTAATGAAAAGATGTTTTAAACTCACTCATCTTTCTTTACAAAAGAATAAAACAGGCAAAAATCTATATGTACATATTATCTTGTTATGTATATATAACATTTTATTAGAAGATAAATTTACAAAATAAACTTAAATAATGTGAAATTTCATTAAATGGGAAAGAAAATCCATAATTTATAATGTTAATGTATGATTTTAAGTTGTTTTAAAATGATTATCTGTGCTTGTTGTATATATGTGACCTTCAGAAACAAGGAAATCTAATATAGTATCCAGTTCTGGTAAAATCTTTTTTGGTACTTTGGCTTTAATATCGGATCTTTCTATACCAGATTCAGTATCATTTTGTGCGTGAATAATTTTATAAACTAACGTCTGATCTTTTGTCATTCCATAATAAGGAGAATCTTCGCTTGATTCTTGATTTTCCATAACACTGGATTCGTTGTTTTGTCCCTCCTTATTCTTTTTCGACATTGCTTGGGCTTTTAATGTGGCATAAGTAACTTCGAATATATGATTTGTTAACTCATTTAAGTCTTCTAGTGGTTGTAAACGCAAAATAAGAATATGTCGTTTTTCATTCTGTTCTCTGAGTAAGCCAATTATATTAACATATACATTCATCTGCATGACAAGACCTGATGCTTTTTTTTCTGCTTCTAACCATTTCAATGCAGTTATCGTACCTGAACATGTTAACAATGAGATAATTAATTTTGATATAATCTTAAGAAATAAGAGATTAAGATCATGTCAAGGTTATCGTTATTTCTTTAAATTAATTTCTATGGATATTCTAAGCTAGACATATAAAAACAAGAAAAAAAAGAAGAAATATCATCTTACAAGTAGATTTTTGTATAATGTACCAATATTATTTGGCATTTTTCTCGAAGAATTATAATTTAGTATTACTCAAAAATGGCTTGAGGTGACTACAGGTGTAAAAAGTGATCGGAGTATAAAGGTCTAAAACTGAATGCAATCGAACCTGTTTGATCTTCAACATCGTATGACATCTTCGTTGCAGTCTCTTCCATGTGGCGTATTATTCCAACAATCGAGAACATACGTGCAGGAATATCCCAAATCATTGTTTCATCAACCGAATTAGCAGCGAGTAAATGTCCTATCATAACAGGAACAATGGTTTGTACTCTACGCAATTTTACGTCGTCTGGGCCAGTTTTGTTAGTACTGTCCAAAAATCCACCTTCGAAAGTACCACTATTATCTAAATTAGACGACCACATAATTATGCTTAATTGACCGGAACTTAATGTTTTAAAAAGTAACAATCTTTAAGTACTTCTACTGAGAGAAACAACGAAATATATTGAACCGATTGAACGTTGGACGAAATCAAACAGAAATTGCGCGCGAACATGCGATAACCATAAAATACAGGAAACCTAGTTCTGTCACAAAATGAAGCTTGTATACAGGGTATACACAGGGTGTCCCAAAAATATTGTAACACCTTGAAAGAAGTGGTTCGGGAGGTGATTTGAAACAACTTTTTCCTTAGCGAAAATATTTTTAACGGAAAACACTGACCAATCAGAGCGCGAGTATGCCGGTGGAGCGGAGGCTACGCGATAGGCTGCCGCACTCATACGCTACCGCGGGCGCTCCATCGCCATACTCGCGCTTTGATTGGTCAGTGTTTTCCGTTAATATCCCCTCAATGAAGCCTCGGACAACATTTTCACTAAGGAAAAAGTTGTTTCAAATCACCTCCCGAACCACCTCTTTCAACGACTTCCAACATTTTTGGGACACTCTGTATTATGAGAATGAATTCTAAAGTTGTTTTCTTAGCACAATCTCATAGTTGCTTTTACTTTTTATTAATATTCACCAATTACAATAAGCATTTCAAGTTACAACAAAATCTATTTCCTCAAGTTATTGAAATTATGTTCAATACATATTTTTCATATCATGAAAACTAATTTTTTTACTTAAAATTCATTTAAAAAATAATTTAAACAATATTTTTATCGAATTCAAATTTAGTCGAATTTATAAATTAAAAATAATTTATTAACTTTTGTATAGAACAAATAATATTTTGCACAGACGTAAAAATATAGTTTATTACTTCGACTCGGTGTTCTTAGAAATAAAAACAAAATATTGACAAAATGTTTTAGATTTTTTTCCAAAATCTTAAAATCGTATTGGTGAATATAAAAAAATCAATGTAAATCTGCCTTGTGATATCATCATGCACTATGTAATATAGACGAAGGAATGTTTGCTCTTTCGGTTTGTTGATTTAAAATTACCATAAAAAGTATCATGGCGTCTAAGACCCATGTGGAAAATATTGTTAACGAACGTCGATTACGTCCGATTTACGGTAAGTCTATTGTTCATATCTTTATTGACGACACGAAGTTTAAATTGTCCAAGTTCTATAAAAATTTACTCGCAATATTCAACCGGTAACGAGGTTATGTAACATAGCTAAATTATGCACTTTAGATTGGTTGGATAATGGAAACAATAAAAAAGCCCTTCAAGAAGCAGATAAAGTGCTTAAAAAACATCCAAGCAATCAGTGTGCCAAAGTGCTCAAAGCTTTGGCTTTATTACGACTTGGTAAAGAAAATGAGTGTCAAATTATCATGGATGAGGTACGGTTGGAAGTACCATGCGAGGATTCTACTCTGCAAGTTATGAGTATTTGTTATAGAGAAATACATCAACGTAAGTTAAAGTCATACTTAAAGTATAATTTTGTATATATATGTAAAATATACCATGTATTATAAAATGTAACTTTGTATATTCTTATTTGTAGCAAATAAAATTAGCGAAGTGTATGAGGCTGCAGCAAAAGCAGATCCGAACAATGAAGAATTATTGACTCACCTTTTTATGTCATATGTACGACTCGGAGATTATAAAAAGCAACAACAAACAGCGCTTGCTTTATATAAACTAAAACCAAAAAATCCTTATTATTTTTGGGCTGTGATGAGTATAGTTATGCAGGCCACACATGCAGATGAAAAATTGGCGAAAGGAGTTACTTTGCCTTTAGCAGAAAGAATGGTTTGTAAATTATTGTGAACTTATTACATCATTGTAAGAAATGTGTCATTTCATTTGAAATTTTAATAAATTAATGGATACAAGGTATTGAAACTAATTAAAGAAGGAAAAATGGAAGCCGAACAAGAAGTCCAGCTTTATTTAATGATATTGGAGCTTCAAGGTAAAAGCGAAGAAATGTTAAATGTTTTATCCGAACCCTTAGCATCGCATCTTTCGTCGATTCCACAACGCAAGGCAGCACTTTTACTAAAATTGGAACGTTTTCCTGAAGCTGCCGATGCATATAAGGAACTTATCAGAGAAAAGTGAGTACAATATAGCATATACACTTTTTTAATTATAATATTTTAGTATTATACATTGTCTGTGTATTGCAAGTAGTATCGACAACTGGGCATATTATCAAGACTATGTTTTTGCGGCTCTTAAATACCAGAAACCGGAAGAGTGTTTAGATTTTTTAAATAAGATCATAACTACATCAGAGAAAAAAGTCAGGGCTCCGTATCTTGCAAAGTTTGAACTATTGAAACACACTCAAAATAAAGAAATCATTGAAAATACTGCAGATCCAGTGGATCTAATGCATCAGTATTTCTCACAATTTGGAGAGAAAGACTGTGTAGTTGGAGATTTACGACTGTACTTAGATTTGTTAACTCCTACTGGCAGATCACAGTTGCTTCAAAAAGTAAGTAAAAGAACAATAGAATGTATTTCTTAGAATAAAATAATATTTTTTTATACGAATTTCTGTTTGTAACCTTTTTACTCTTTTAGATAGAAGAAGATGTAGGTGTTAAGCCAGACGAATTTTCAACTACTGTACAACAGATGCAGAGACATATTCATTTAGAACAATTACGTCGTATTTGTGGATTCCATCAGTCCCCAAATGTAGGCATAAATGAACAAAAACAACTAGTGGAACGATTATGTAAATTATATGAGAAGGGTAATGAATTATGTCCAATTCAAGAAAGATTACCAACAGATTTTTGTCCTGCGGATTCTTACATCCTTTTAGCTACACATTTATTACACGAACTATGGTACAGTACTAGCGACGCGTCTTACTTGTACAGGTAATATCATTTTAAAAGGTAACACTTTCAAAATAAATTTATTAACTATTTAATAAAAATAAATATAAAATTTTGTAGGGCAATGGCGATATTAGAACGTGGTTTAGTATCGAGTCCTGCAAATTTTCATCTAAAAATTTTATTAGTGCGAATATATTTGGAAGCAGGATTAGTAGGTTCTGCAGATCATGTTTTCACATTGTTGGACGTTAAACATATTCAGTTAGATTCGTTGGGTCACTTACATGCACCATTGCTTGCTCCTCTAGGCCATCTTTCATTGGCTTCCACAACTTTAGATCACTCTACTAAATTTTTCATTGCAAATTGCAAGGATGTATGTATTGCCATTTCATAAACTTACCTTAAACAGTATGAAATTCTTTCTAACTTAATTCATTGTGATGCATGGTCAGAGTGCAGATCATCTAACGTTTGCCTATAAATATGGAAGTTTTATAAAGATTCAAGAATTCGTGGAGTTAAGAGAACGTTTGGAGAACTCCTTTCACTTTGTTATGACTACTGTAGATAAAATGATCCTCGAATTAAGTTGGTGCGATAGTTCCACATCGCTGATTTCTACTTTAAATAATATGCATATTCAACCCAGCGAGGATTCAATTCGACTGAATTCTTTACGAGATAACCGTGATTTGGAGGTAAATTTAACTACATAATTCATGATGAAAAATATAACATTTTTAAAAAACAATATATTATATTTAAATAGGTTATTCGTGATTGGGAACCGTTCACAGAAAATGGAAAAGACCCCAGGATGCAAGAAGAAACACGAGTATGCATGTTAAGATTACTTGCAGCGAGGAACTTAATATTGAAAATCTTAGCAGCATGTGCAATGCCTGATAGTTCATCTCTTCTTACCCGATTATCTAGTGAATTAAAACAACTGGATACCGAGCAAATTCCTTCAGCACTTCAAAAATTTGAATCAGAGGGAAAGAAAAATAGACCTTGTAAAATGTTGGTTCCTATGGATGCAGTGGAAAGGTTACGTGAAGCTCATTACTCTGAGCAATTGAAAACGATTGCTCGGCTTGCAGAGTCACTGTCTCATTCACATTATCCTGACTTCGAATGTATCCAAATGTTACAAGCATCTCCATGTCTTCAAACAATAGACATCCCCGAAAAGGGCATTCCGGTGTCCTTTAAGCATTTTCTGCTAAGAGCATCCACATGTAGTGAGTCTCTTGCAATTATTAGTGCCATATGTACTATGTGCGCAAGGCAGTTACAACCTGAAACCACGCACAAGAAAAACAGAAAAAAATACTGTAAGAACATAAAAACCGTTTCTTTAAATGACAACGATCATGTAAGATAATTTAGTAGAGTTTAATATTATTTTCTTTTGTTGATTTTGAATAATTATTGTTGATTTTATATTTAATATTTTTTTACAGAGCTGGAAAGATGTTGCAGTATTACTTACAGAAAGGATTCAAAATTTAGATTCGGTACTAACAGAATTCGAAAAGTTTCAGCTACATACAAGATTGAGCAGTAACGAATATGATATACGTATACCGATAATAAAGTATGGCCAAGTTAGTTTAGGACAAAGTTGCAGATCGTTAAAATCTCGAGCTCAAATCTCATTGAAACTCTTAAATAGCTTGAGAAGGTGAAATTGTACAAAAATTCTTGTACAAAGAATATCCATCCAATTGTTTACTGATTTATAAAAGTGATTCATTTATTATGTACATTATTTTTAGTCTAATCAAATTATAAATATCGACTGAACGCTTATTGCAAATTAAAATTTTTGAAATGATCTTTCTTTCGCACTAAATTCACACCATTTAATAATTTAATAGTCTTTCTTTTATACAAGCTTGACCTTCATTGTGTCTTTTCTTTCAAAACAGCACACTGCCAGTTGTTAATACGAACTTGTGTTTCAAAATAGGTGAGCAATACATTTCATACAAATTTGTAAAATTTGGGATAAATAACATTGTCATGTGAGATGAAGCACATAAATTAATTTTTTGGTTGTTTTGTCTGTACATATACATTTTGAGTTAAGTACATAATTTTCAATAAACTACTTAAATCTTTCTTTACGGGAATAGTATATCTTACTGAAAAATGTGTATAAATTGTTTTATAGATGGAACGTGTCACAAATTGTGATATTATGAATTAATTTAACAAAACCTGTTTTATGTCAAAGTTACGTATTTGTACTTTGCCTCCTACATTGTATATTAATAAATTTATTACTTGTTAATCATCTAATTTAAATAATCAGTTAATTAACTTGTACGAAATTAATAAATTGGATAACAGTAACTACTACAAATAAAAGAACTAAATATATGTGATATAATTTCTTCATTAAAAAATAAATTTATATTTCATGTACTCTGAAAAATAAAAATTAATAATGGTATATTTCGTAATATTCAAATAATACAATTGGCGCATACAAAAATGCAAAACGTTATGTAGTTTTGGGTTTTAAGAAATGAAAATGTAAAGAGATATTAAAGGATTTAAGAACATTCTTGTAAAAATACTGAAACAAGGATCAAGTAGATCTTCTGCAAAATCGAATCCTTATTACTTAAACGATATAATACAATTTTTAATTGTAAAGCTTCATTTGTAAAGCTTAATGTGCTTCGATAGTAACTTTCAGAAAAATCTACTTTTACATCTTGTAAATACGGATAAGAACGAGATTGTTGATAAATTCAAGAGGGAACCTCAACTAATAAATGTCCAGGAATTGAAGTGGAAACCGAGGATGTTGCAGAACACCAGGATTGACAAGAAAAGAAAATTTGAATTTAATAATGTCGAGATATGTATGTATTATATTTTATACATACAGACACACTTCGGTTTTTTTTTTTTTTTTTTTTTTTTTTTTTTTTAATTTATTTATTTAAGGTCGCATCAACATCACCGGTTATTAGCGACCACCTTTCTGTTTTACAACTCTGAAACTAAATTACATTTGGTGTAGTTACAGGTGGCGTTCATTTAAATATTATCATATAAATTTAGATGTTGTATGAAACTAATTATATCAGATACAGAATTTTCGTCGTTTGCAGATTATCTGGTATGCTCAATTTGCTTCTAGTTGGTTGCAGAGAGGGACACTCAAACAAGTGCTTAACTGTTATAATAACATTACAGTAGGTACACATCTTTGGTTGGTTTTTAGACAATAAGTGTTCGTGAGTCAGTTTACAGTGTCCAATTCGTAAACGAGTGAGGATTACTTAGTTTTTTCTTTTCATGTTGTTAAATTGATGAGTTTCATATACATCCTTACTTCAGACAGTTTTTTTGGTATTGACTGAGTCCATTTGGAATTCCAGAATTCTGTGTTTTTTTTATGTAGAAGTTTTTTAATATCCTTATGATGAACAGGAAGATTGTGGTAAGGGTTTTTCGTAGCTTCTTTTGCAGCTTCGTCCACGTAATCATTTTCTTTAATTCCGACATGAGATGGTATCCATGTGTATACAATTTGATTGTCGGCAGCAGTAATTTCATAGTTCAAATTAATAATGGCTTCAATAATTGGTTCTTGTTCCTTACAAGATTTGAAATTTCTCAGGTTTTCTAGTACACTCATAGAATCAGTAAAGATCACATATTTAGTATAATTTAGTGATTTAATACACAGTAAGGCTTGCTTTATTGCAAAGGCTTCACAGAAAAAAATGGAGCTACAGTCGTGAAGTCTATATAATTTCCGAGATCCCAGGCAGGTTGCAGCGCAACCTGTTCCAAGGTTTTTACACGATCCATCAGTGAAGATTTTTGTGTAATTAGTGTATTTACTATCGATATTTTTAAAAAATTGTTGGTATACTACTGGATTTGTATTTTCTTTGTGGTATATATGTAGAGAAAAATCTATTTCAGGCGTTGGAGTTAACCACGGAGGATACTTTATCTTTGATCTATGTATTATTTCAGGTATATTTGTATAAATATCCTTTAAATAATTGACTAGTCGCTGATATAATGGCTTAGGAAAGGATTTTCTTTTTTCGTAAAAGGCGGTGTATCTGTTTGAGAAGACATTATGGTATACCGAGTTTGAAGGAATGTGAGATATTTTGGATGCATATGAGAAGAGTAACTTTCTTCTTCTTATGTATAGAGGTTCTTCATTTGCTTCAGCTAGAATGGTCATGATAGGACTGGTTCTATAGGCACCTAGTGCAAATCTTAACCCTGATGAATGGATGGAATTTAGGTTGTTTAATACGTGGGGTTTTGCCGAGTCGTAGATAATAGATCCATAATCTAATTTGAAGCGGACAAAACTCTTATAGGTAGTCAGTATTATCTCTTTATCCGCACCCCAGTTGCTCGATGAAATTGATTTGATTGCGTTCATTCGGCGGGTACATTCTGCTTTCAAATACTTACTTTGAGGAATCCATGTAAGATGTTTGTCAAAAATTAATCCAAGGATTTTTATTTCGTTACTGTTTTTTAAAGTGTATGAGCCCAGTGATAGGTTAATTTGTGTATTTAAAGATTTTTGTTTTGAAAAGGTAATGACTTCAGATTTTGATTTAGAAATTTTATATCCAGTTTTGTGGGTCCATTTTTGGATTTTGTCTAACGCGTCTTGAAGTTGAATTTCCGTGGTTTTTATGTTTTAACATAACATTAAATATATCATTGATTGCTACTAAAAACAGGGTCACACTTATAACTGATCCTTGGGGAACACCATTTTTAATTGTGAATTTCTCTGAGAATTGGTTTTTAAATTTAACTCTGATCGTTCTGTCCTGAAGAAAATTTGAAATAAATTTGAGAATTCGTCCATTAATTCCAACATTAAGTAAAATACTGATAATTCTATCTTTCCACACCATGTCATAAGCTTTCTCCATGTCTAAACTAACTGCTGCTAGGTGCTGGTTGGTAATAAAGGCATCACAAATATTACTTTCAATGTTCGTAAGATGGTCTAAAGTAGAACAGTGTTTCCTAAATCCACTTTGAAAGGGTGAGCCGAAATTTATACTGTTAAAATACCAAATTATCCTTTTATTAATAACTTTTTCCAAGAGTATTGGTCTGTAGTTTTGTGAATTTGTAATATATTTGTTTGGTTTTGGTATTGGAATGATGGTTGCTTTTTTCCATTTTTCGGGAAAAATTCTAGAGCATAAAATCTCATTATAAAGAAGTGTAATGTAATTGATAGCAATTCGTGGAAGCTTTTTAAGGAATATGTTAAAAATACCGTCTGGTCCAGGACTTGAATTTTTAGTTGATGAAAGAACTGTTTCGATTTCAGAGATTTGTATGGGTGTGTTGATATTTTCATTTGATTGATTATTTAATTCTAGAATTTTTTCAATAATTATATCGGAGCAGTTTTTAAATTGTTGAAACTCTGGATCGTAGTTGGAATCATCTGAGTTCCTCGCAAATGTACTAGCTAATAGGTTAGCCTTATCTTCAGTCTTGTTTACGATAGTGTTGTCTGAAGACGGCATAATGTTAGGAAGGGGAATCCGATTTCCAGTTCCATTGATTTTTTTTAGTTTTTCCCATACTGTAGAAGTAGATGTAGATGGATTAATAGATGATATAAAATTTTCCCACGATACTTTTTTTTGTCGTTTAAAAGTTTTACGCGAATATGCTCTTAAGCGCTTATATTCGTATAAATTGTTAAACGTAGGGTGGGGTTTGTATTTTTGAAAGGCATGTTTATATGCTTTTAGAAATTCACTGCATTCTTCATTCCACCATGGTAACCTTTTCTTTTGTGCTTTGCTCAATGAATTAGGAATACATTTTTTGGCAGCATCAAGTATAATTTTCGTTAGAATGTCTACTTTTTCGTTGATATTCATCATTTGGTCGCATCGAGATTGAAGTTCGTTTATTTTTATCGAGATTATATTTTGGTATTCTGAAAAATCACCTTTCCTGAAATTCCATTTTATTTCATTTGTAGAGTAAGTGGAAATCGGATTTAACCGATAGTGTAAGAGTATGGGATAACGATCACTTCCGTATAGGTCTTCGGTAGTTTCCCAGTTGAAATTATGTGCGATTGAGGGACTAGAGATTGATAAATCAATAGCGCTGATTATGTTGTAGGAATTATTGAAGTGAGTTGGATGATTATTATTTAATAGTACCAAATTAAGGTCTTCCATAATTTGTTCCATTGTTTTCTCTCTTTCATCTAGTTTGTACGAACCCCACGTATAGCTATGACAATTAAAATCTCCCAATATTATATAAGGCTTTGGAAGCTGATTGAATAAACTACTTATTTTTTGTTGTGAAAGGATACAATTATTGGGTAGGTAAATGTTGCAAATGCTGATCGGACCTTTTGAGAATAGAACCGAGATTGTGACACACTCAAGATCGATATTTAGAATAATTTCAGTTGCTTTGAAACTTCTTTTAATATATGTAGCTACTCCGCCACTGGCATGGGTTGCATTTGTTCTGTTTTTGGTGAAATTTATATAATTCTTTATGTTAGCTTGAAAATTGTTTTTAAAATTTGTTTCCTGGAGACATATAATATCTGGACTATATTTATTGATTAGGATCTGGAGATTTTCTTTTTGCGGACAGTAGCCATTCAAGTTCCATTGTAATATATAATCAGCCATTCTTAGGTTGATTGTGAGAATGATGTAATTGGTCATCATCACTGGCCTCTGAGAAATTCATTGAATCGTTGTCAGAGGTATTTTGTTTTCTTAGTTTATTTTTCAAAATTGTGAATCTGCGTTTAATGTTTTTATCTATAAGGAGTGTCCTGGTTTTTTCAAGCATCGTGATGAGAGACTGAAAATTCGATACATATTCCGAAGCAATTTCTGTAACATTGGAGGTATCTTTCGTCTTTTCTAATAAACTTTTAAGTTGATGATAATTGAGTGGATATGGATTATTTGGGTTTGAAAGTATTTCTCTGAGTGGAACAAGTTGATTTTCTAAGATATCTATTTTGTTTTCATCGATATCTGTATTGGTCTTTGGTTTTTTAAATTTTTCTTTGATCTTATGATCTTCAAGGTAATCTGGTTTATCCAAATTTGTTTCGATAGGTTTTAGAGGATTTTTTAATGATTCATTGTTGTCAGTTGTGCTGTTTGAAGATACAGATAAGGGTCGTTTTGGAGCCTTTTGGGAAGGATTTATTATTGTCAGATTGGAATCATTTTCCAATAACGTGGTATTCGAAAAATCTTCTTTGTTTTGACTTTGATATACCAATATATTGGATGAAAACAAATTTGATGGAGTGTTTATCAAAGTTAGGTTTTCCTTATGCAATATTTCTATTGATTCAGGTTCTTTGCAATTTTTTGCTACATGACCTTGTTGTTTACAGATAAAACACGATATTGCTTCGGCCGAAAGGTAGATCCAATAACTTGTGTCTTCAAAATTCATTTCAATTGACTCCGGGAGTTTATGTACGTCATCTGGGTGTATGTAGACTGATGTTTAATTTTTTAAATTCATTTTCCAAAACGTTATGAGGGATTATTAGGGAGACGTTTGATAATATTAGTCTTTTAAAATTCGTTAGGAGACTACGAATCTCAAGTGAGTTATTTCCAATAGATATTTTTGTTTTGTTATCTGTAAGTCTTTTTGCTATGTCTTTATTGGCAAGGTAGAGACATATGCAATTTCTTGAGATTCTTGAGACAAAACGTATGTTATTTGGGTTTATTAACTTTCCAATCGCTTGGGTGTACTCTTTCAGCGGAATCCCATCAATTGAGTCGATTACAATTGCCTGTTCCTTTGTAGGGAATATTTCTCTTTGGGCAACAGTAGCAGAGCTTGTCGTTGGATTTTTACTTACTGCTTGACTAAACGTTGATGTTGAGGCATTGAAATGAACTTCTTGGTCAGAAGCCATTTCAATAAGTGAAAAGAGCAGAAATCACTAGGTACAATTCTAAGTAGATTCGTATGATGTAATGTTAGATTGATAGTCACTGGTTTACTCGCATAACGATGCGACAATCAAAACAAAAACAAACACAAAAACAAACGGAACTCGCCAGACACGTCCGAACACATAGGCTTCCCAAAGGGAAACTGACTTCGGTTTTAGTTTCTGCTTATAATATCCAATACTTTGTTTCTTGAGCTTAAGTGGCAAATAAAGATCGTCCTTGTCTTGAAATTCGAATAAAGGATCAGTATACATCCACTCAATCCAGTTCTTATACTGATTTAAAATACGTTTAAAGTCCTCTAAAATGTTGTAATCTTCTTATCCCAAGATATATGAATCAAATATGAGATAAATGCGTATTCACATCATAGGATGTAGCTAGTAGATGTAGATAACATGTCTGTACAGAGTAAAAGCTTTATACTTTAGGTGTATACATATGCTTAATAATTTGCACAAATTCCTTCTTCACTATACAAATTAAAATAGAAATATTTGAAATAGCACTATCACATCAATCATCTATTTCTTCAATTTCCATCAGATTCTTCTGTTTCAATATCTCTAGTGTGTTCTTCAAAGTAGCAATTTTCTGACTGTATCTTCTATTTTGTTGTTTTAGTTTTCTTATCTCGTATTCATATTTTTTCTTTGTAGATTTTAATTGTTCTCTTAAGTGTTGTTTGATTGGACATTGAAAAAGTTTCTGTGACGATATAAATGTAGATTTTTCTTCAGTACGAGGTGTAGCTACCGAAAGGAAAATAATATTTCTTGTAAACAGTATCATATTATATTATCACCACTATTTTCTGAAGGTCAATATAACATAAGTGAATTGTATACTTACAATTAGATTTTTCAGTGGTTTCCTCTCCCATTCTATCTTCTAAAATACTTAAACTTGTTTGTACTGCTGCATCTTTTTTTAACAACATTTCATACAACTGAAACAGAAGGGTGCATACACTCATATTTGTTGATCATTAAATTCTATATCGTTATCTACATATTAGTAATACATTTACAAATGGTAATAACTACAGGATAGAATTAAATATAGTCTTACAGAAGTAGAATATATTGCCGTAGAACTCGTTTCTATAGTCTCTGTTTCTGTTTCCACTGGAGATAAAGTTCTCTGTACTTTTGATATTAGTTGATCATCTAATTTTTCATTTTGTAAACAATGTTTTACATTCTGTTTTGTAATATCACTGGTCAATATTGTGTACAACTACAAACGTATTCATATAAAAACCATATTAAAGAATTAACTAGACATATAAGATAAGATACACATACTTGACTTCTCGATTCTTGACTCTCAGAATGCCTCTTATCTTCTGTAGTGTCTTTTGCATCTTTAGATGGTAAATTTGCCTTTAGAAATATAGAATAAACTGATGTATATATCCAGTAGTTATAAATTATAATTCTATTACTATCGTAAATGGAACAAATATATGATACAAAGAAAGAAACACATACTTACATATGGAACAGCATCTGCTCTGACCCTTACGCAAGACACCGATGTTCTGTCAATGTCTTTATTTCTAAAGTGCTGTGAGCATAGAACAGCTTGTTTATGCAATTTAGATTCATTTAACTCCATAGCAGCTATCCACATTGCACGCCTTTTTGGATCTCCTGGGAACCTGCAAAATGGAATATTTAATAGTATAATTGCAACTAATACTATTGTTTTTTGTTATTTTAGTTTCTTAACACTTTTAGATAAATAACTCAACTTTATTAACGAGTTAAAACGTCTAAGCTATGCCCTTAGTTATGGCCTCCATAAAGAAACAAATTGTTAAAGAAATTTGTCTCATTGCTGATCACTGAATTGAACAAATTACTTACGCATGAAAAGTAATTTTCGTTGTTTCTTCGAGTCGTAACTGATTAATACTTTTAGTTGTCGACCTGTTCTTACAACCTTTAGCAGCGCAAACGGGCATTTTAAAATTGGTAATTATACAGTTCAATAATTACCATGCTGTATAATAAAAATTGTTGTCTATGGTATTAACAACTTTTTTTACTTGGACCTTTATTTGTAATTATTTGTTGCACTGAATGAGTGAACTCTAAGTTCAGTGATTCGTAAACATTTGTAACCACACAATTACAGTACTGTTGACTACATAGTCAAAGTGCACTACACATTACCACACGCTATTAATGTCAACACGGTGTTGTTAACTTTGCCGCAATTTTCGCACATGCGTGTCGAAATGTCGAAAATAATATCAGCAATGTGCCCTGATAGAGTAGAAATGGTATTATATGGGCCCCTATTTAGAAAGTTAGAAAATTATTTAAACATTATTGGGGGATAAATAAATGAAATAAAAGAGAGAAAGATATCGAAATAGCTATTAAAACAGAATGCCAGTTTTATGTAACTTTTATTGGATATTTTGTCTTAATAAAAAATATTGTCGCTGGTTCTTAGTTTCAAAGGTATAATCAGGGCCGGTTTTAGCAATATTGGCGCCCTGGGCAAGATTATCGCGGCGCCCCTTCAGGGGTATATACAGGGTGTCCCAAAAATGTTGTAACACCTTGAAAGGGGTGCTTCAGGAGGTGATTTGAAACAACTTTTTCCTTAGCGAAAATGTTGTTCGAGTCTTCGTTAAGGAGATATTAAAAGAAAATACTGACCAATCAGCGGGCCCTCTATTGGCATACTCGCGCTCTAATTAGTCGGGGAGCGTGGCCGTCTAGCTCGTAGCCTACGCTATCTCGAGCGCTCCAACAGTATCCGCGCGCTCTGATTGGTCGAGCTTTTCTATTAATATCTCCTTAACGAAACCTCGGACAACATTTTTGCTAAGGAAAAAGTTGTTTCAAATCACCTCCCGAACCACCCCTTTCAAGGTTTTACAACATTTTTGGGACACCCTGTATATGTATATCGGTATATTCGTATACTAGGGACACCGGACAGCGGCGTCCTCAAAAATCTGGTGCCCCGGGCGGTTGCCCCTTCCCTAACGCCGGCCCTGGATATAATTCTTAGAAATATTATTTCCATACATTATTATCATTACCTAACACCTACAAACCTTATTGTTAGATTTACGTGTATAGCGGTGTACATATTGACATATAAATCAGAAATAATGCATAAGAAAGAATACAGCAGAATAATAAATCTGTGCCATTATTTCGAAAAAAAGTAGGAATGCTGTGTTTATTTTGGTTATGAACTATATTGTAGTAAGTCTATCTAGAATTTTTTTACTAAGAAAAAATACTCGAAAACCTTGGGGGTGCGCTAGACTTTGATACCTATAATCAGTCTGGCGAGGCTGGTTCAGCGCGTTCGCCGGAACCCGCCCCCGCGTTTTGAGAGGCCCCCCGATCTACGAAAATTTTGATTAACTTTTTACGGAATGATTCAGTTTAAAGGAGTGACAAAAATCATCAAAGTAATATTATTCAATATTCATCTTATAAACAATATATAATGTGTAGCATTCGTAAATAAATAATTCCTCGTTGAAAAATTTAAGTGTAAGAACCCGGCATAATTGTTCTCTTAAGTGTTGCTTGATTGGACATTGGCCCCACAAAAGGTCGTGCCGGCCCTGCCTATAATATTTCATTGCGCACGTGTTGTCCTCGGCTGTTCGACTGCACATGCGTAACAAATACCGCCAAATTTCCGGCGCCAATTTGACAACACAGATTCCATGTTTAAAATTCAAAAATTCAACAAGTCCGTAATGTTCGCTTGTCAGATATTTGTATTATAAGTAAATTTATATTACAAGTAAATTAAACAGATAAATTTTACTTGAATCAAAATGCGGAGCAGCTCTGCAAGATACATGTCATCCACGAATCCCGTAAGGACAACTGTGGTTGAGAGAAAAGAAATAAATTTGATGCGAAGTGAAAAAGGCTTTAACACACACAACTTTCGTCAGTAAGTGTATGATCAACTTACATATTTTCCCTGGTACACACATTGGACATTTTGTACATGAAATGTCTCATTTGATGTACGAATTTATTTTATGAATTTATTTATTACTAGACTCCAGATGTTTATGCAAATGTATATTGTTTTCCATATTATATGTGATTCATAAATTTTAGTTAAAAGGTATATGCACATATGTTATATATTTCTTTTATATCTATTTCCCTGTATTTTCATATATAAGTTGTATATTTGCATATGTCTTTAGCATATTTTATGTGCATAAACATCCAAAGTCTATTTATTACTAATTAAATCAACCAAAAAGAGAAACGTAATATAGCATTAGGTTAATCAGAAAGTTCCATCCATTTAGTAGCCAAAACTAGAACACTCATTAACTGTAATGTCTAAAGTGAGATTAATTTATTAAATTCAAAATTATAATTTAATTTAATTTTATATACTTCTATAAAAAATATAGTGCACTCTATTGATATCTTTTATGCAACATTTACACAATATTACTGTTTACGATGTGACAAAAGCAACATATTTTTCAATATCATACTACTATCTGCATCTAAATTACCGATACACATTTTAAACAATTGAGAAATGTTAAATAGATTATCGATATTACTGTACAGTGTAAGAATGAAACAGTAACGCCATATCAAAGGTTCTATATCAGTAGATGAATGAAGTAACAATAAAAGTAAATTTCTAACTTTACTCCAGTCTCTATGAGTAACATGTGACTTCATTTCGGAGAGAATTGTTTGCTTTGAAAAACTTGAAATATGATGTCTTTCACTTCTTTTATAGCAATGTATAATTTTACATTGTTCTGAAGTTCGTCTTAATTTTTCGTCTTCTTCCATTTCTATCTTTCTCTTTACTCCATTTTTTCTGTTTAGCTGAAGTATTTCAATGGCTTTATTCTGAAGAAAAGATAAATTTGTAACACCTGCAAGTTATAATATACATTTATAATAATAGAATGCTGTTGTTACGTACCACATTTTTTCTTCTGACTTTCTGCATTTCCACTTTTTGGGAATTTTATAATATATGATATGTATTATTCTTATTTCATAATATTTTTAATGTGATTTTGTCCAATTTTTCCTACGCATATATTAAATTTTTACCAAATGATTGTATAAACTAATAATAATTTTGTACATTTATTGTAAAAATATATTTGATATAATTTTGTTTCGATAATAAAACAGAGTATTTAAAAAATACTTTTATCATAAAATTGTTTTGCAAAATGTTCTTATTAGTACAATACATTTAGCCTTATTACCAATAATATGTAGAAGAGCACGAATTTTAATTTGTTCGTTTCCTAGGTGGATAAAATCAGAAATACACAATCGCTCAGTAGTATTTAATATACAATATGAAAGTCATTTAAGAGCTGCAAAATGGTATATATTAGGTGAACCGAAAAGTGATGTCGTTTCTATGAATCTCAATACTTCTTTATCATTCATCAACTGATTGATTTTTACCCATCTGGCATTGAATATTTGCACACTAAATGCCAAAAGGTTGTTGATAATGAGGATAATTACATAATCGATTAAAAATAGAAATTTACTAAGAATGTATTTGTCTGAATTTAATGTAAAAGAAATGACATTACTTTTCGGTACACCTAATATAACATACAATTCAAATACTTTTATTTACTTTAAACGTTGGTTAAAAAAACAGGAAGAAAGAAAAATCGAAAAATGTAACACAGACTTGAACAAAACGATGTCGTGATTGTAAACAAACGAATTTTGGTTGCTGATGACTGTTTACATTCACTTATCTTTGTAACCGTTGTAACAGACAATAACAAAATATAATCTATTTTCGTAATCAATAATCGGTTTGATAAATAACAAATTGTAATAAATATCTACCATGTATTTTTGTTATTATGATTCATTTAACAAAACAATAACCTCCATATAAATAACCGATGAAACCATGTGTCTTGTAGCATGATTTCTCACTCTAAGGTAGTCACGTGGTTTGTTAAGTCAAGTTCAAGGTGGCGAGCCAGTAACTTTTATCGTGGTGAAAATGCGAGCCAACTCACAATTCTTGATTCTGTAACTTTCACCATAGTGAAAATCCGAGCCATCTCAAGGGAGTTTGTTTGACAAGAAATTTCTTGTCGAATGGTGCAATTAGAGAGTGCATTGAAAAATTGAGAAATAGAGCGGGAAGGAAAGAATAGACAACAATCTTGCGACGCGTTTAGATTGTTTAATTTAATTTAAATTTCCCTCCATCTGGAACCAGTACGATTCCAATTACAGTTCCTGGATAAAACATTTGTCTTCAAATTTCAAATCTAGTGATTTTGTATTTTCACTTCGACGTTACTGGATCGCGTCAAAATGAAAAAACGAAATCACTAGATTAGAAATTTGGTGAAAAATGTTTTGTCAGGAACTGTACCTGGAATCGTACTGGCCTACTGGCTCTCTGGTACTGATTGTGAGTAAGACACCTTGTATAAATATGCAGGGTGTCCGAAAAGTGTTATAACACCTTGAAAGGGGTGGTTCGGGAGGTGATTTGAAACAACTTTTTCCTTACCGAAAATGTTGTCCGAGGCTTTGTTGAAGAGGTATTAAAGGAAAACACTGACCAATCAGAGCGCGAGTATGCCGGTGGAGCGGCCGCGGTAGCGTATGAGCGTAGCCGCCTAGCACGTAGCCTACGCTCCATCGGCATACTCGCGTTCTGATTTGTCGTGGTTTTCTGTTAATATCTCCTTAACGAAGCCTCGAACAACATTTTCGCTAAGGAAAAAGTTGTTTCAAATCACCTCCCAAACCACCTCTTTCAAGGTGTTACAACATTTTTGGGACACCCTGTATATGTCATATGAGTATGATAATGTAATGTCACAGGCTGTGCTCACTTGCGCCGCGAGTGGTAGAATTTGATAACAGTTTTCTAGTAACTTTCTTAGGGAGTTGGATCTCTTTATACAGTCTTCATATAGAAATGTCTATATACTCAAAGCTTTTAATTAACCTTAAACTTGAAGGTTAAGGTCTTCTAAATTCTAAATCACCGAAACAAAACGTTAAAAAAAAACACATATATATTAGTTATATAGAAAAGAATTAGATATAATTTGAAAATGTTTCTGAGAACTCGTTTTGGTAATTTACTAATTAAAAGGCAAGTGCAAACAAATTCAGAAATAATAGCAAATTGCAAGGAAATCAGGAATCGTAATCCAAGAAATTTAGAACGTTTAAGGATTGCAAGAAAACCCATTGGTTATTCTCTGGAGAAGCCTGGATTTTCGTATTGGCACAAGTAAAACGATTATATGTGTATATACAACATTTACGATAACCTTAAAAATCTTTTGTTTGCATACATTGGTATACTGATGATTTTGTATAAGTTTAATGTTAATGATTGAAATTTGTGTAGATTCATTCTGAACATCTCTCAGCGCTATATTTCCGCAGAAGTACATCATTTTGAAAATGGCCCAGTTATTACAGTATCAAGCCAAGAAAATGGTATAAAATCCCAATTGTACAGGTGTGTAATAGTCTTTTTTTTTTTTCTAAATTATTTATTTATAATGGTCGCATGAACAGTAAGGACATTAGCGACCACGGTATAACACATAGTTACAAATTAATTACAAATTTATCGCACATATACAATAATTAAACTTTGTTATATAAGTCTATACTTTTTAAAAATGAAAGAGTCGTAGTGATATTTCTAAGACTGTTAAGGCAGTCACTGAGATCTGTCGGAAGTTTGAAACCTAGTCGTTTAGATTGGAACATTGGGCAAACCAAACGTCCAGTACTTCCTTTCTACTTTTATTTCTCGCTGTATAGAGAAATTTTAGTTCGTTAGTGTTCCCCTCTTCTTGACAAATCATTTCCGCACGCGTAATAGTCTTATAAAACTTAAATTAACAAGAATTCTAATAATAATCCAAAAAAATGTTTTATTTCTTTAATTATCATTTATAATGAAATAACTAACACCTTAAAAGGTATTACTTGCATTATCATTAGATTTGTTTCTGTCCAATTTTTATAAGAATTTCTAATTTATTTATTGCTCTACATATTAAATGATACCATTAGATAATACTTAAGTAATTTCAGATAATATGAAAATTATTATTCTTTCATAAATTATTCTATTAATTTACAAGGAATATCACCAAATTGTAACATGCTGCTTTTGACGAAGTTTGGTACACAGATAGAACATTAAAAAATATTAGTTATAATAAGTTAAATAAATTAATATATTTGCTACCATGTGTTACATACATCTGACATATTATTTAATATTTTGCCCTATTTAATACATTTTACTTTTATATAGTTAATGGTTTTGCAGTTAGCATTTGTAGTTTGTTGTACAGGATTCTAGCATTAGAATCAGAATGGAATTACAATATCGTGTTAGTTATAATTTGTACTAGTTTTACACATAAATATTAAAAAACAAAATTATATCTGCAGTAGGTACCTACATATATAAAAATGATATAGAATAAATTTTAATTAATTGTAAAGTAATGTAAAAACACAATGAAAATAGTCATTGAAAACATTCACTGTATTAAATAAAATTATTAGTATAGCATACTTTGAGGCAATTGTACGTTGGTAGCAAATGTTTCAGTATATAGAAATATCAAAGAGTAATGAAAATTATCTTTTAGTACAAACGATGCATCAGCATACATAAATGTAGGCCGCATATTTGCACAGCGCTGCTTAGAATGTGGAATAACTGAGTTATATGTTAATGAAGATGACATATCTGGAGAGAAGATAAATCTTTTGCTCAAAGAAGTAGAAAAAGGTGGAATTAGCTTACAAGAACCACCCAGATACGTTCATCGATATACTGCGCATTGGCTCCGTGATGAGAAACCTTGGGAAACAGTCGAGTAGTTTCCAGTTCTGTATATAATTTAAAAATGTGTAGAATATAGAAGACTAAAAGTGAGTTATAAAATTTGTTTATACATGTTACTTTTAATTATACCCAAAAGACTTTATACATTACAATTCGTGTTTCATGTGAATTTTTTGAACCCTGCTGTAATATAAAATCTAGGATTAAAACAGTTTCAGTCTTTATTTATTTACAATAATAATCCATTTTTATTGCACTTGTATAAACGGATAGGAATTTTTCCATACCATCGCATATCTGTTTATCGTCGATTAATCTAAGTTTATGAATACAATTAGGCATAGCGCATGACTTACTGAAAGGTTTCAATGAAATAAATAATTAGTTGCAACCAAAAAATTCGTTAAGATTTCTGTTTAAATTTTAACTATTTAATTGCTATTAAAGGTTTTAAAAAATGGGAAGGAATAGTTATAAAGAAATAATTTCCAATTTAGCACAATTTGTTTTATTATTTAAACTTTTTAAACTTGAAGTATATAAGTTTATACACAATACACTACACAAGGATAGCAATAAATAATCATATCAATATTAAATAAACATCTAACCTATGGTAAATTCAGTAGTTACAATGTATCAAACCATCAAATATAAATGTGTAGAATCGATCATTGCTACACCTTATAATAGACTTATTTTATACTAATAAAAAGTAATTCTTGATAAAGATAATACTGCACTTGTAATTGCATTACGATTCTGAGTAATAGTACATATTTACTTAGTGTTAAAATGTCATAAGTTTTGTTTGATTTCTTTAAATGTGTGAAATCACAGATTGTCAGTCATTTGTCAATATTGGTTTGATTGAGATACAAATAAATATATTAATAATTACAACTAATTGAGCATAATGTAAATTTTTGTGTACATATTCTTTATAGGCCGCTTAACGCATTGATTAATACATTTACAAATGAATTAATAAACTCATGTCTTGTACATATGCAATTATTGTGAGAAATGATATGAACACACGTTTTTGTTGATAAATTATGCTCTTCGCATTAACGCATGAAAGTATGCACTAGAATTCGAAGAAACAGACGTGCAAAGCACTTAATCTTTGCTTAACATTTTTATTAATATGAGAATCAGTGTTGATGAATAAAAACAATTTTGACTCTTTGTATGTTCAACATTACATTTGATTATATTGAGTAATGATAATATACATAAAGTACTTTCTTTCAATAAGCATTGTTTATGAAGGGTATATGATTCTTTGAATATTAGTTTAGGTGAGGATACTAAAAATGTCTTCCCGTAAAGGTACCTTGGAGATGTCATACACCTTACTAGGTAACAATTATATAGTCTAGTCCATTTAAAACAGAGCATTTGATAAAATTAGTTTTGAAAATACAAAAAAACGTCATTGATATAATTTGCATAATTTTAATGGGTAAATATGATGGAAAAAGAATTTTATATTCTCTGTTTTAATCTTGTAACCGGCGCCAACGAGAATCATCTGTAAAGTGTCTCTCTTCGATTTTTATAAAACTTTATAAGTCTATAGAACGATACAAAGTAAAGGATTTACATTTTTTTTCTTTTGGTATCGATAACTCAAGTATACAATGGCGAAAATTGTTAGATATATAAGAAAGTGTTTCGAACAAATTCTGTATGTAAATTAATAGACTTGCAGTTTACAGTGAAATAAAAATAAAAATAGTTCATCATCTTTTTAATGAATTAAAAATATATGTAGATAATAAATGTACTGTTTTGACATGTCAATTAATTTATTACTGCTGTTATTTTACGTTAAAAGTTATCCAAATTTACAACTGTATTATTGAAATCTTTTATTTAAATTTATCTGTATATTTAATTTGCATGATAAAATTTGATAATCAATCAAATGGGTAAGAAGATATGAGACATGTAGATACTTGCTATAATATTAAAATACAGGTACTTTACTGTAATACTAAGAGGTGTGTGTATACAGAATATTTCATTATTAATAAATTTAACTTCAAAAGTGACTTTAGTGTTACAAAATAATTACGAAAGTTTATATAAATATAAAAACTACAGTAGAACTCCATTTATCCGAACTCGGATCTCGCAACGTATCATTTATGGGAATTAGTAAACTTCAGTTACATGAACTATCCAGTTATCAGAACTTGGTTGTTCCTCAACCGATTAAAATAAATGGAGTTCTACTGTATTTAACTTCATGTTCAAGTTATAGGAATTTTTGTATTCTCATAATTTTCGGTACAAACTGAGCTAATATAACTAATTCCACGAAGTTATCTACAATCAACATCACATTAAGTATTACTAATAAATAAATAATTAATATTATAAATATTACTAAATATTTAAGCTCAATTTTAAAGTCATTTAAAAAAAAGACTTTTGTGTAGACAAAATACAGGAACGCCTGTAACTTGGAAACAACGTCAGATGAAATATTGACTCTTTAAATCATGTTTATATGAACTTTAAAATTTATTTTGATATTTTGAATTTATTCTTGAAGGCATGCTTATTTATTAATAATGAATTGTCCTGTATACAGGGTGTGGCCAGATGAGTGGTACAACCGAGCAAAAGGGGATACTACATGTAAAAATAAGTCGAAAAAAAGGAATAACATTTTTTCGTTTAACGCTTAGTTTTTGAGAAAATCGAGTTTGAAAATTTTATCTAGTACGTATGTACTGAACTAATAAGGCAATGATATGTACGCGCCAACAAGGACAGCACTTTGAACAGTTTATTTTATAATGTTATGTAATTAACGTTAGAAATGGCAATAAAATTAATATATGTATTATCCATACATTAACATTTCTTATTTATAATACATATTTAAACCTAGAGTGCACGCGTATTGGATAGAATTTTCAAACTCGATTTTCTCGAAAACAAACCGTCAAACGAAAGAATGTTATTTCTTTTTTTGACTTATTTTTACATGTAGTATCACCCTCTGCTCGATTGTACCACCCGTCCGGCCACAATCTGTATAATACAAAATATCTTTTTCGCTTCATCAGATTTTCCAAAAATACAAACGAAGTTGAATTACAAAGAGCAAATCAAGTTTTCACAAGTACTGATATGACTGAGATTTTATTTGCAAGTGTGAATGTCTATACTCTTAACACAAGTTTTACATTCTACAAAACAACACCAATGAAATTTACACTCGCATCTTTCTCTGATAGTTGATTTCTGAGTGTTGTACCCTCTACCACAACAAAGGAGATTACATCCATCCATACCGGATGATGTTCTGTTGCAAATTCTGCCGTGTGTACCTAATAAAAGTTATTTTTTATTTGATTAGTCGAGTATGTTTTATGTTATACAATTAACATACAAATACTTTTATACAACTTTAATTAATTTAAATAATAATGTACTTTATCGTTTATAAGAGTAACTTATTTTTTTTTAAATATTAGAAATACATTGAAAAACACATGCACATGAAAGTTAACAGAGAGTACTTCATTAATTATTACTATTCAAGTTTGTTCGTTTTTATGTAATTGTACATTTTAATTTTTATGTAAAAAGTTTCTTTAATTATTTCTCAATTTTTAAAAATGTGCTACTTTTATTAAATGTTTGTATATTAATATTTCTCTTTATAAGAATATCAATTTAATTTTGAATGAAATTTGTTACCTAGCGATCCGAATGTCTCATTAGGGAGACAATAGTTTGGAGAATCATCCAAATAAACCAAATCATTTGCTGTGGGTAATGAAAATCTTGGATCCCGCATGGACAGACGTCCACGTCTATTTACCCTGACCTCTGTTGCTCCATCATATTTATCTAAGAGAAAATCACCTGCAAATATTATTATATAATTAGTTGCTCACATTTACTAGATTAGAATTTAATTCAGGATTAATATAGTCTACAGATTGTATATAATATGATTAACTCGAATAATTTCTAAATGATGCATTGTATAGAAAAGTATTTTATTCAAAAGTTATATGGTTCCTAGGTAGATATATGTTGTTATACTAATTACTTCCTTCTGCATATCAAGTTTGAATGAGGAAACGCTGGAAATGTAATATGTCTAGTACTAAAAAGAAGCAGTACACTAAACTTTACTTATAATATTATTCTATTTTTTTACAATACAAAAAAGAGATAGACAGAAATCTTATATTGAGTTTTTAGAGTTCACATTATTTAAAAAAAAATTGAATTAATATATATTATGCTTTATAATGTTTGATAGTGTGTTATCTTTCTGAATGTTCTGCGATATACAGGGTGTCCTGCTAATTGAGCGCTGTGATTGATCAGTGTTTTTCGTTAATAATTCAAAAATGAAGACCCCACTGACATTTTTGCAAAGGAAATTGTTGTTCAGAATCGTGTGAGCTACCCTCCATTTCCGGTTCTTACAGGAGTTCTGGGACACTCTGTATAGTAAGTTTATTAAGGAAAAGAAAGAAACATACCAATTTCTCGAAATGATGCCAGCTGTTGCCAGCAAGTAATCAAACTACAGCTTCCGGAAACACCGTGACACTTGCATGTCACCTTTGACCTTTTAATAACAGCCTGTAAAAAAATTAATATTAATAATTTTTATGCATTTAATACTTCGTTTGTGTACTTTCTCCTCCATTATAAAAACGAAATTTTTAATTTTTAGTATAACATTTGTGATGGTTACTTCGGCAGGAATGCCGAGCTCAATCGGTACGCAAGGAAGTGATTTTCGGGGAAAAAATAAATGTGCGCTATGTCTATTAAATGGTTTATGAGTAACCAGCTCTCGCTGGAGACAAGCAAAATAAATGTACGAGTAATAATACTACTAAATGGCTATAAGTGCGGATACGTTTCGGCACGTATTACGGTATTACGGATATGTATTATGGGTACATATTACGCGTACGTATTACGTACGTACCTTAAATTCTAAGTAAATGTATACAGCAGAGTGCTCCAAGAGATTATCCAAAGGTCGGTACCTATGCCTGAGGACCATACCCGACCTCACCAGAAGGTGATGGGTTTGTAAAACGACAAACGGGCGCCTAATAACTGATTATTAGTACCAGTTACCACTGGTAGGGGTTCTTATTCTAACGAACCCACACAGACCGACCGGGAAAGAGAATGGAAAGACAAGCCCTCTCCATTTTTACATTTCATCGAGGCAAGTACTTGGAAACCTCGTAAAACTCTAGCCTCCAGCAATTTTAAGGAGTTTTGCTCTAGGGTCCTTTTATTCTGGGGAGGTCTAGCATCATCGACCACCCCAGGGGACGGACCCCTAGTATATACAGCAGTGAGGACTGCAACGCTCGCTCCAATGCGCATGATCAGGAAAAATCCCACGAATGTCCATCACTGCTTCGAGGCTCATTTCGACCGCCTGGTCCCCCGAGCCCAGAGCGTGGCGACCCTATTAGTTTGTCTAATGCCCAACCTCGGGGGTCCGGAGAAGAGGATGCGCCGCGTTTACGTGGCAGTGGTGTGGTCAATGGCCTTATACGGATCACCCGTGTGGTCCAGCGACCTGATGGTCCGTCGGCGCAGCCGTATATGATCCTGCGCCGCGTGCAGCGGCACATGGCCATCAGGGTCGCAAGGGGATACCGGACCATATCTCACGAGGGGGCGGCCGTCCTGGCGGGGGTGGTACTCTTTTATTTCCAGCCGGAGGCGGACGCCGATGTATATCGACGTCTGTAAATTCTCCGCCAGAATGGCGCCGACCCGCCGGGTGAGGCGGTCGAAGAGTGGAGGCGTCGACCCCGACGGCTCGCCCGTGAGAAGTGGCGCCGACCGGCACCGGGCCGTTGGGGCGGTCCTGCCAAGCCTGGATGCTTGTCTAGACCGCCGGCATGGCCGGCTGTTGTACCGAGTCATGCAGGTGCTCACCGGACATGGCTGTTTAGGTGAGTATTGTTACTTGCTGGATAGTTGGCGCGTGAAAGGTTAACACCCCTATCCGCACGCATCTTCGGTATTGGCCAAGGCAAACGCTGCTGTGTTTACTCCGCTGTGATTACTCGGTCCAGGAGGCGTTGGAAGGTGGCCGGTGCGGAATGGAGGCCGAAGGGACTTCGAATTGGTATAGTCCACGCCTAGGTACGGTAGCCCCTCCTTGGCTCTTCTTGATACCGATTGTTGGGCTGCGAGGGGCGTGAAGGGACGGGAGCAGGGAGGGGCAGAGCGTGAGTCGGAATCCTCCCTCCGCTACCTCCTCGATCGCACGCAAAGACCTCATTCCTCGGCCGAGGGTCACTCCTTTGCGGGGCTCCTCGAGCGAGGAATGGGGTGTACGAGAGACGTCGGGTGGAGCGAGCTGGAGACGCGAAGCCCAACGGACAGCCCAGGGAAGGGGCAGTGCAAGTGGGCAACCTGCTTGCACCCGATAGAGTTAAGTATTTGCTGGGGAGGACCCCCCCCCCCCCCGGTGGGGGGCTCACAGGGTCAAGAGCGGAGGTGGCTGGTAGTGATTCGTAAGAGTACTCAGCCACCTCCAATTACTCTAGGGCAGATTGTCGTCTGGTTTTTAGTGGGTAACGCGATCCCTTCGGGCTTCCTTCCCAGGAGAGGCAGGGCATGCGTAAAGCATTTTCAGACCCTCCTTTTCCCTCCACTGGGGCGAAGAGGTGGACACGGCGCGGCATACACTCGAGAAGTGTCCGGCATGAGTCGCGCCGTGCTCTTAGAGCTGTAGTGGAAGGCGGCAGCCTCCTTCTGCAAGATAACCTCCTCGCAGAAGGAGGCCACCGAGCGAGCCCGGGAGCAGCCCCCCATTGCGTAGGGGGGCAGGGAATGGTAAGACGCGGGGGACACCCCCGCGCCAACCTGAGTCCCCTGTGTGGGGCGGAGACAGGATTGACGCGGTGAGGTTCTCCAAGTCGGAAGAGACCCGTCCTGGATGGGGAGGGAATGAGGAGGGTGACGCGGGAACCACTCCTGTGTCGATTTTTGCCCCGGTGGGCAACGGCGAATGTGAGGTGCCGGAGTGTGAGTTTACCCCGGCCCCTGGAGGGGAACTGATTCCTCTCGGGTTGGTCAAACCTCGTGTGGTCGGCTCGTCCCCCTAGGACCACCGGGTCCTTCGAGGTCGCGTGAGGAATGGGGTGTGAAGAGTTCGGGACGTGCCCCTTCGTCGATCCTCCCTTACTGGTGTCTGTGTTTTTTTTCCCTGGCCGGGCGGGTACTCTTCATTGCTGGTTAGTTGGCGTGCAGCTCTCCAAACTAGAGGGGTACTGAGGGAGCAGAGGATCGCTCGGTCCTCTAGAGAGAAGGACGCTCGATCCGCCTAAACCTCCCCAGGTTCCCCCTTTTTCCACGCTGCATAGGCGTAAGGTCCACTACTTTCGCGTCGTTCGTGCGACCGTCCGGTGTCCGTAAGTTAATGTTACGCCAATGATTTCTATTGCTCTCTCGCTCTATCTTGTTCACGGTCTTTGTCGCGCGGCAGCGTTTGCCTTGGTCAATACTGAAAGGCGTATTTTGACCTGGCCAATACCGAAGATGCGTGCGGATAGGGATGTCGACTTTCCACGCGCCAACTAACCAGCTAGTAACAATACCTTTCGGCCTCCTGTACCGAGCCAGACACAAAGATTCCGGGGACCGTGGGTGGACCGAGCGGGGGCTCGGGAAGCCCATTACGACGGCAATCGTCCGTCCGTGTTCAATCCCCTAGCGCTCTTAAAACAGGTTTCTCGGTACGAGACTAGACTGACTACCGTGACCGCGTCGGGAGGTACTATAGGTGCGACCGAACGGTTTCGCTTGCGAGCACTACCGCCGCGCAGTCACCACCTGTCGGTCGGCGCGCGTACCCGAGTCCGTACTTGCTTGTAATGAACGTTTTCTTACACATTTTTCTTTCTTTTCTCCATTGCTGTTTTTGCGATTATAAAAAAGAAATTAGGAAAATAATGACTGAATTCTCTTCCTCAATTTTCATAGGAACTGCAACATATTGCAATTTCAACAATATCTTTGAAAGGAAATGTAGAAGTGATCGATTTGACGCAGAATGATTTCATATAAAGCAAACTTTACCCTGCGACCAGCTTCGTTATTATGAAGATTCATTAGGCTTCTGCCTTGTTCTCTGCTACCTCTTCTAAAGCTGCGTTCGCGTTCCCTTACGTCGACAAATGCCTGGGTAAATCTAAAACAATTAAAAGAGTAAATGTATCATATATTTTGTTTCTACGAGAATTCTTTGAAATTAAGTTTTATAAAATTTTTAGAAAATGTGAACGATGCTATTGTGTCGCTTTAAACATATGGATGATCTTACTGCCTTTGGATGTTAATGCTTAGTTTATAGAGATCTTTGCAGAAGAATATTATATCATTGTTTGGAACCAGAAGCATTTGACTTCCAGGCCGCGGACATCTAGGCAAATTTCTAAACAGTCTCAGTTTGTGGCTGATACGTTCTTTAGCTTCTTTATTTCACTGCCAAAATGCGGAGCAGTCACTTTACATGAGTTGTCATTAGGGTCTGAACGTCAGCACTGTTGACCACAACATTTTAGCTGCGCATAGTTAGAAAGCACCGCAATTTACATTGCGTTACACAGTGTCGCCTTTGCACTTTGCACTTTAAGTTTTTTTTATGGGTAAATACTACAGCAGTAATGATCCATGGAGGTAAGATTTCTATTGTTTAAACAAGAGAAGAAGTACGGTTTAAAACAACAAAACTGTTTAATGTAATCAATAATGGAGTTACAAAGGAAATTGTAAATACTTACTTGTAACCATACTCAAGATTGTCTCCACAGCCTCCCCAAATCCAATGCCGATCCAAATCTCTAGGTCTACTACTTCTCGAACAGCCACATGAGGATAACTGACCATCTCTGCAGGATCGACTGATCGAATACACTACTCCTGCAGCTGTGATTGCATGAACGAATGCTGTTTCCCTGCTAGCTATGAAAAAAAGAAGAATCATTCATTTGACAATCCTAAGCTTAATTCTATGAGAAAATAGTGTTAAATTTTACATGAATTTTTCAAGGCAACCTATCACTAAAGGATAAACAAATAATGAAAATGTCATATTGAGGTTTAAATGTAGTGCTATTAAGTCATTAGAACAAACCATTTTTTTAGCAGACTTTAATGACAAAAAGTGAATTCTTTTTAATAATTAAAAACGTTCATATAATTATGGGAATATGGAATGTTATCTCAGTAATAGATAAGGAAGTATTGCTTGTCATGGCAATATCTTAACACTTTATCTACTGGGCAATTTAGAAACAGTCCTTGATTTAAAAAGAATTGTCTACAGTAGCATATGCCAATCTAGACTGACAATAATTCCTCCATACTGTTACTGGGTACATTGAAAGCCAAGTCTGTTTCTGTTTGCGAATCGGCTCTTGAATGTCGCGCCGTGAGGCTGCCGGCGTCGCATCGATCAGTTATCGATCGACAGCGGGCGCTTTTGTCCAGCGGATGAGATTTCGGCCGTTTTCGGAACGCGCACCGGCCGCGTGCTCGCGCCACGTGCGCTGAGCATTGTGAATCTAGTATTCAAAGCAAACGCATCGCGCATAGCCTTTTTGGACAGTTTACAGTAAAGTGAAATTCCACGCATCAGTGCATCAGCTCAGCATCCAGGCGGCTGAATTTACATATTAACGGCGCCAGGCGGTGTATCCAGTTCAAAGGAAACGCTCTCTGCATCGTCCAGCCAGCTCACTCATCAATTGCATGTCTCATTTTAACAGGTAGCTCATACGTCATTTCCATAACACCTTGACTCTCTCTCTGATTGTACCGAATTGACGAGAAATAAAAGTTTTATCTGATAACTAAGAACGAGAGCATTCATTTCTACAGTCCGCGCGAACCTAACACCCGTTCGCGAACAGTTTCCAAACACTAAACATTGTAAGAAGACAACCATCAACACAGTAAATAAATTCAAAAAGCTAACTACTGGAATTAAAAAGCCTATCAATAGACTCCCGGTAAATAAAGTGTTAATTACTCGCATTGACTAAAATAGTTCTGGTCGTGCACGTACGACCGCACTCGTAAAGGGGTTTAAATAAAATGTGTATTGTCTGTTGCTCAGGAGTTGGCGAGGCAGCTCAATTGGCGTGTCGTTACTACCGCATACCATATAATCAGCATGAGCAAAGGTTAATACTTTGGTCACAGTATAAGTACAACCAGTAGCGTTACTTGGCAAAAGTAGAGTCTGCAAATGTGCATACCAAGAACATAGCGACGACGTTGTTTCCTATATTGTACACTAGATGGTACTAATAGTAACCGACACCACACGCAGCGTCACACGTCGATTCAATTTATTACGCAGCGTCATAGTAACATCACAGTATAAGTACTTTTATTTTTCACTTAGTTTCATATGATTACTCGCATTACTTTTATGTTATACTTATAAATTTGTAATATTTTAAACTTTGAATTTGTGTTACTTAGTAGTTTGAATATTATTTTTACAATTTATAAAATATATATATATTTTTTTTTATACAAAAATATGAATAGAATGTTTTTTTACTAAAACACTATATTTTTTAAATTCCGGCACTTATGTTCAGTGTTTTATACCAGGGTTTGAATAATAATCAATTACAATTTTTTAATTAAATAATTGATTTAAACAAGTTTAATTCAATCAACTTAATTAATAAATATTTTGAATAAATGTAATTAAAAATTATTTAATTAAAATTGAATTAAGCAGAGTTAATCGAAAGTCGTTTAATTGACGATTGATATGAGCGAATTTAATCGAAGATATTTAATTGACGATTACTTTAAGCAGAATGAATTGAAAGCCATTTAATTCACGATTGATTTAAGGAGAATTAATTCAAAGCCATTTAATTGATGATTGCTTTAAGCACAATTAATTCAAAGGTATTTAATTGACGATTACTTTAAGCAGAATTAATTCAAGCTATTTAATTGACGATTTGTTTATATCTTCAATGTTAAAAGATATTTATATAAAATTCAATTAATTATATAAGTAGCACATACAAATAAACATATATATACATCAATTTGTAGCGACAAACGCAATATACTAAATACTATTAACCTCATCAAAGTGAGTTGCTTGTATATATAATAATGTATTTGTTAAGGTAATTCTATGAATAAATAATTTATAACGTAAATAAGAACAAATATATATTTACATATGTATTCTTATACAATGATGACAAAATAAAACAACATAGGTATAAGTTAAAGTAATATACTAAAAACATAAAGTAGGGGGTTCAGCTAATTTGACATTACCAGCATAACCCTTTCCGTACGAGCGCTGGATGTATCTGGCATCCATCTATTAACCGTATATGTGTTACTTATATAATTAATTAAATTTTATATAAATGTCTTTTAACATTGAAGATTTAAACAAATCGTCAATTAAATAGCTTGAATTAATTCTGCTTAAAATAATCGTGAATTAAATGCCTTTGAATTAATTCTGCTTAAAGTACTCGTGAATTAAATGCCTTTGAATTAATTCTACTTAAAGCAATCGTCAATTAAATGGCTTTGAATTAATTCTGCTTAAAGTAATCGTCAATTGAATGCCTTTGAATTAATTCTACTTAAAGCAATCGTCAATTAAATGGCTTTGAATTAATTCTGCTTAAAGCAATCCTCAATTGAATGGCTTTGAATTAATTCTGCTTAATTCAATTTTAATTAAATAATTTTTAATTGCGTTGTTTGTAATTAATTGTCAATTAAAGACGGAAATTAATTTTAAAAGTAATTAATTACTCGCAACTCTGTTTTATACATACTGTTTGCAATTGCCTTTCTTTTTCTCTCAGTTTAAATATGCGCATGGTGCATACCAGGAACATGGCAGACCTCGGATATCAACATCAAAGGTGCCGACACGGAGTGACGCTACTGGTTGTACCTATACTGTGCTTTGGTGGTTTATCCGCCCAGGATGGTGAAGTGATGCAAATCAAAGAATTTTTAGAGGTAGCTTACCTAATCTTAGCATAGGTCCGAATACGGACTCGTCATGGACAGTGGAACAGTTCCATCTTCGGTCGCGAAATTGATGCTGGCACTCGAGGATTCCAAACTTGGCGCCTCTTGCTACGCTTGGCATATGATCCACGGAAAGCTGGCACAGTTTTCCTTGGCCCTGCGAGAGACCCTTTAGCCCGTGGCAAATGGTAGATGCTGCTACATCGTAGGTCTCAATCATTTGCGTAGTCTCCAGTTGCGGAAAGTGTTGGAATCCGACGTTTCTGGTAACATATTGTAAACGGGTGCATTCAGTGGACTGATCATGATCACTGATCCAATCGCTAGAAACCACTAGCACTTTCTATACAAGAAGATTTCAGTATTGACATTTTACGATTAGATAACGACAGTCAAAACCTGATAAATAACTTTGTTGAAAACATATTGTTGGAGAAATAATTTCAGATGTTGGTGTTGCTTCTATTAGCATAGGTGGCAACACTGAAACAGAAGAATATGTGTGAATGTGAAAGTATCCAGTTCAGATCTTGTATGAATCAAAGAGTATTAGCCATATCTAGAGACGCGGTAGCGTCTCCGACGCCAATTACATGAAAAATTATACCCCACCGTGTATACTGGCGCTGGCGCTACCACGTACCTTTTACTCGTAAAACTGCGATTCCAACCTAACCCGAAACTTCTGTCATTAATATCTCGTCACGCCTGCTGTATTTTCTAAATCTAAAGGCATTTTTCTAATGTAAATCGCATATAAGCTTTCTAATAAAACCAAAATCAATAAA